CTTCTTCTTCTTCTTCTTCTTCTTTTTCTTCTTCCGATTCTTCTTCTTCTTCTTCTTCCGATTTTTCTTCTTCATCTTCTTCTTCTTCTTCTTCTTCTTTTTCTTTTTCCGATTTTTCTTCTTCTTCTTCTTCTTCTTCTTCTTCTTTCTCTGATTCTTCTTCTTCTTCTAATTCTTCTTCTTCTTTTTCTTCTTCTTCTTCATCTTCTTCTTCTTCCGATTCTTCTTCTTCTTCTTCTTTTTCCAATTCTTCTTCTTCTTCATTTTTCTTCTTCATTCTTCTTCTTCTTCTTCTTTTCTTCTTCGATTCTTCTTCTTCTTCTTCTTCTTCTCTGATTCTTCTTCTTCTTCTTCTTCTTCTTTTTCTTCTTCTTCCGATTCTTCTTCTTCTTCTTCTTCCAATTTTTCTTCTTCTTCTTCTTCTTCTTCTTCTTCTTCATCTTCTTTTTCTTCTTCTTCTTCCGATTCTTCTTCTTCTTCTTCTTCTTCTTCTTCTTCTTCTTTCTTCTTCTTCTTCTTCTTCCGATTCTTCTTCTTCTTCTTCTTCTTTTTCTTCTTCGTCTTCCTTCTTTTTCTTCTTCATCTTCATTTCTTCTTCTTCTTCTTCTTCTTCTTCTTCTTCTTCTTCGTCTTTTTTTTTTCTTCTTCTTCTTCTTCTTCTTCTTCTTCTTCGATTCTTCTTCTTCTTCTTTTTCTCCGATTTCTTCTTCTTCTTCTTCCTTCTTTTCTTCTTCTTCTTCTTCTTTTTTTTTTGGCTTCTCTTTATTCAACGCGCCTTCCCTCTTCCTCTCTTCCATCCATATTTCATCACTTTGGTTCATCTCCTTTTACTCTTCATTCTTTACTTACGCCCCCCCTATCCATCTCCTTCCCTCCTCAACTTATCTCGCTTTTACACGCCTCCTCCCCTACCCTTTTCTCCTTCTTCTTTAATTTATTCTCCCCCTACACCCCTCTTTCTTCTTCATCTCTTTTACTCGCCTCCTCTTCCTCCTCTATCTTCTTCTTTGTTGTCGTCGTCTTCTTTCAATTTTATTTATTTTCTTTTCCCCCTCCTTATTCATTTCTCGCTATTATTCACCACCCCCTCCTCCTTATTCTTTTTCTTCGTCATCTTTTTTCTCCTTCTTTCAATTTTATTCACTTCCCCTTCACTTTCTCTCTCTTGTTTTCGCTCTTTTTTACTCAACTCTACACTTCGTCAACATCCTTCTTCTTCTTCGTTCTCTTCTTCTTCTCCTCCTCCTCCTTCTTTTTCTTCTTCTACTACTACTCCCCCTTCTTTTTCTTCTCCTCCTACTCCTCCCCTCCTCCTCTATTCTTTTTCTCCTCCTCCTCTTTCTCCTCCTACCCATTCTCCTCCTCCTCCTTTTTCTTCTTCTCCTCCTACTTCTTCTTCTTCTCTTCCTCCTCCTCTTCCTCCTCCTCCTCTTATTTCTTCTTCTACTTGTTGTTGTTGTTGTTCTTCTTCTTCTCTTCCTCCTCTTCCTTCTTCTCTTCCTCCTCCTCTTCTTTCTTCTTCTTCTTCTTCTTGTGTCCCATCTATCACTTCTGCCATCTTTGCTTTTGACTTCTGCTGCTCCCTTCCTTTAATCTAATCTTATAATCCCAACAACCACCCACTCTTCACCAAAGCCACCACCCCCGACAGCCGCTGGTACGAACACTATAAATTTAGAGTCCTTTGAAACTTCCTCTTCCGATGATTCGTTTTCTCTGGGGCCTCATGCCTCACTCACCGAAGCGTACCATGGACGCCAATGGCTCATGACTACAAAAGCGAAATGTGTGACGTCAAACAGAGGAGCAAAGAGGAAGCCCGCGCTTCCTTTCCAACAAATTGGGCAGACTCAGTTGTTCACTGACATTAATATGTGCGCGCATGCGCACGTACCAAACATATCACCCGACTGCCTGCACGTTCCTTTTGTTATATGTACGCATGCGCTTTGCGTATCCGTTTTCTTTTCTGTAATTCATTGGCCAAGTTCCACAATGTTGTGTGCCGTTAGTGATCGATGCTTCTTCTTTATCTCATTAGATACACGAGCGATAGGAACGATACTCGAATTTGAAGTATCGAATTTTATCCATGTAACATCTAACTAGTTTTTGTCACGTTCTTACATCCATAGATGGTGGATAAAAATGCGTTGGTGTTCTAGATTAAGCGATGTGAAATAAATATTTTCGTATTCGACTTTTACTGTATATTTGGGCAGCAAACTTTCTTTTAAACATCTTTTGTTAAATATGGCAGACAAGGATGATTTAATTTTTTTTTATTTAGTTTTTCCAGGGTACTTACGTTTTTCCGTTTTGGTTTTTCATTTACCCATCCAATTTCGGCTATTTCTTTAGCCATTGTCAAGGATTTTTTTTTTTTGGTGTTCTTAGATTTTATCATCTGTTATTTTTGTGCTGTTTTGGATAGAAGCGTTTATTCCGAGCCTTCGGATGTTGAGCGCCGCTGGGATTCAGCGTCTTTCTAATAAAAAAAAAACAAGTATCTTTTAACACACCATTCCTATTGTTAAATGAGAGAGATGCTTAATATAAAGGAACTCTCTAAGAGCAAGACATACAGGTTGTTCATAACGTTCGTTTGCTTTTTAAAAAAATTATAACTGTATTTGTATTTGCGATAGAAATAAATGTTATAACGTTTAATGTACCTAGTTTAAATAACTAACGTGATTTCAGGCATTACTGTCAATCAGTTGGCAAATGTTTTCCGTGAACTGTAAAATCGTATTACCCTTTGTATTGCTAATGATGGAGGAGATGTGGGAACTTCAAATTTCAATAAAACATTAAAAAATATAGATTTACTTCTTTTTAATCCTTTTTACAAATTATTTCTATCGCAAATACAAATAAAGTTATACTTTATGGACACCCTGCATAAATGACATTACTGCCCATAGTAATATCATTTATATACAATTTTAGTGTTTTCAACCAGAATTTTTCTTAAAGTTTCTAAAGTAAATTGTAGGTATATATATTACTAATAAAATAATACCAAAATCTACTACTCAGATTTTTATCTAATATAAATCCCAACTACATAGTTCGTAAGGGGTTATCAACAATATCTTTCTTTCTCTTTCTCGCCCTCCCTCTCGATATATATATATATATATATATATATATATATATATATATATATATATTAAAGAAATGAAAGTGTGTGTAGCTTCATATTACATGACATTTTTAAAACCAAAGCAACCGGTTTCACTGCTGCTCTTCAGGCCTCTACGGAAGATTTAACTTAGATTTTATTATTATTATTATTATTATTATTATTATTATTATTATTATTATTCTCCCCCCTATTACACATTTTCCTGTTTAGCATATATATATATATATATATATATATATATATATATATATATATATATATATGTGTGTGTGTGTAAGTTGGTAGTGTGTACACACACACACACACACACACATATATATATATATATATATATATATATATATATATATATATATATATATATATGTCATCCACAGACAGACAGTTTCGCTGTATCACAGCTCGTCAGTGTGATTATACACCCGATTGCCTCAAGCAGGGATCGAAACCCGACTTATTTGGCATCAGTCGTAGATTGTAATCCTGGTAGAGAGGAAGGTGAATTTTTTTTGCGCATTTAGTCTTTGAATAAACACGCCAGTGACCGAGAGGGTCTCAATTCAACCCCCCCATATATATATATATATATATATATATATATATATATATATATATATATATATATATATATATATGATATAACATCTAAAGACATAAAGATTAATCAATAACAAACAAAACAAGCCAAAACTTTAAGGAGGAATTTACTCTACCAAAAGCAGGAATTGCCAGAATGAATACATTGGAGAGACCTCAAGAAGTTTAAACAAGAGAATATATGAACACAAAAGGGATATTTTAAATAACAACAAGCAAAATAGTTGTTCACTGTAATGAAACTGACCACAATTTTGACATAGGGAATGCTACTTTGATTAAATGAGAAAATAATCCACTGAGACGAAAATGTCTGGTAAGTGCTTTGATCGCTGGTTCAGCCATATTAATTTTGCCTTCAGGCTCTTACAATATATCACCATTCTTGGCAGATTTTCTGTTGTCACAATGTGCGATCGTCAGGGACAAAGGTGATGGAGAGAAAAAATAGTGAAAAACATATTCTTTCAAAAATTTTGAAACTACCAGCATCACTCGTTTCCTCTGTAGACGTGGCCCCACCAACAAAGCCCAGTCTAATGTATTCCAAACGGAATGAAACGCGTCACAAAAAATTTATTCCAATTTGTCATACTATACTTCTAAATACACACACACACATGCGCACATATATATATATATATATATATATATATATATATATGTGTGTGTGTGTGTGTGTGTGTGTGTGTGTGCACGTGTGTGTCTGTGTTTGCGTGTGTAACTCTGTATATGTGTCCGTGGACGTGATTGTGTGCATGTGTGTCTTTACATACACAACACACACACACACACACACATATATATATATATATATATATATATATATATATATATATATATATATATATATATATATATATATATATCAAAGGTTATTTTTTTTACGTTAGCTTAAAAATATAGTGATGCGAAACGTAGAGAAATCTAATTTTACATCCCTTTGTCGTTGTTATGCTGCGTTGTGTTGGGAAATTAAATGAGAAACTCGATTGCGAAAGCAAAGGAAAAATAAATAAAATAAGTAGAATGGAAATTCTTGAAAATATTAAGTAAAATAAGTTAAGGAAAAATAAACAGGAACAAACGAACATAGGTAAAAAAAAAAATGCAAAACAAAACAAAACTAAAAAAAAATAAACAAAAAAAAAGGTAAATAAGCAAATGAAATTTAGTTAAGGTCTCGAACAGTAAACATGAATGTCGTTTTTCTTCCGATTCTCTAAGAGAAGGCCCCCCCCCGGGCATATGTTTAGGAACACGGCGTGAAAGTACCAGATGTCAACTGAAATGTGTGCTTATGAAGAAGGAGTGGCGGGGGAGGGGCGAAACAAGGAGAGAAAGAACTGAAGTGAAGATGGAATGATTTAAAATCTATGAGATGAGAAAGAAATAAAGAAAAAAGAAAGAGCATATTGTGCTCTTACTTTTCTTTTTCTTTTTCAGAAAAAGGATAGATAGATAGATATGGAAGGGAAAAAGATAGATAGATACTGAAGGGGAAAAAGATAGATAGATAGATAGATAGATAGATAGATATGGAAGGGAAAAAGATAGATAGATACTGAAAGGGAAAAAGATAGATAGATAGATAGATAGATAGATAGATAGATATAGATGGATATGGAAAAAAGATAGATAGATACTGAAAGGGAAAAAGATAGATAGATGAATAGATAGATAGATATGGAAGGGAAAAAGATAGATAGATACTGAAGGGGAAACAGATAGATAGATAGATAGATAGATAGATAGATAGATAGATAGATAGATAGATATGGTAGGGAAAAGATAGATAGATACTGAAGGGGAAAAGATGATAGATAGATAGATAGATAGATAGATAGATAGATAGATAGATAGATATGGAAAGGAAAAAGATAGATAGATACTGAAAGGGAAAAAGATAGATAGATAGATAGATAGATAGATAGATAGATAGATAGATAGATATGGAAGGGAAAAAGATAGATAGATACTGAAAGGGAAAAAGATAGATAGATAGATAGATAGATATGGAAGGAAAAAAGATAGATAGATAGATAGATATAAACAGAGTAGAGGCATAAAGAAAGAAAGAAAGAAAGAAAGAAAGAAAGAAAGAAAGAAAGAAAGAAAGAAAGAAACAAATGGTGCAAAAGAGAAATGAATGGAGAAAAAAATAAAATAAAGAACATATTCTGCTGTTTCTTTTTTTCACAAAAAGAAAGGACGATAGATAGATAGATACTGAAGGGAAAAAGATAGATAGATAGATAGATAGATAGATAGATAGATAGATAGATAGATATGGAAGGGAAAAAGATAGATAGATACTGAAAGGGAAAAAGATAGATAGATAGATAGATAGATAGATAGATAGATAGATAGATAGATAGATAGATATGGAAAGGAAAAAAGATAGATAGATACTGAAAAGGAAAAAGATAGATAGATAGATAGATAGATAGATAGATAGATAGATAGATAGATAGATATGGAAGGGAAAAAGATAGATAGATACTGAAAGGGAAAAGATAGATAGATAGATAGATAGATATGGAAGGAAAAAAGATAGATAGATAGATAGATATAAACAGAGTAGAGGCATAAAGAAAGAAAAGAAAGAAAGAAAAAGAAAGAAAGAAAGAAAAAAGAAAAGAAACAAATGGTGCAAAAAGAGAAATGAATGGAGAAAAAAAAAAATAAAGAACATATTCTGCTGTTTCTTTTTTTCACAAAAAGAAAGGACGATAGATAGATAGATACTGAAGGGAAAAAGATAGATAGATAGATAGATAGATAGATAGATAGATAGATATGGAAAGGAAAAAGATAGATAGATACTGAAAGGGAAAAAGATAGATAGATAGATAGATAGATAGATAGATACCTTAAGAAAGGAAGAAAGAAAAAAAGAAAGAAAAAAGAAGTAAAACAAATGGTGCAAAAGAGAAATGAACGGAAAAAAAAAATTCTGCTCTTTCTATTTTTCACAAAAAGAAAGATAGATAGATAGATAGATAGATAGATAGATAGATAGATAGATAGATAGATACTGAAGGGAAAAAGATATGGTGAAAGAAAGAAAGAAAGAAAGAACGCGAAATATATTGAAGCAGAAAGAAAGAAAGAAAGAAAGAAAGAAAGAATGGGATAGAAATGGAAAAAAAGGAAGAAAAAGTTATGGTGAAAGAAAGAAAGAAAGAAAGAATGAAAGGAAGAAAGAAAGAATGGGATAGAAATGGAAGAAAAAGTTATGGTGAAAGAAAGAAAGAACGCGAAATATATTGAAGCAGATAGAAAGAAAGAAAGAGAGAGAGAAAGAAAGAAAAAAAGAACTGAACAGAGAATGAAGTAAACGGGACAATGAGAAAAAAAAGGCGCGATTCACTGAATGGGGGGAAAAAACAGAAGAAAAAATATCAGAATTGAACAGAAAAAGAAAGAGAGAATAAGTAAAGTATAATCGAGAATGAAAACTGAAGAAAAAAAAAAGACGGTCGAATGTCCATAGGCAAAAACGATAAAAAAAAATAGTATCACATTTTAGAACAAACCTTTTGATGAATAACAAAAATTATTAGAAACATTATATATATATATATATATATATATATATATATATATATATATATATATATATATATATATATATATATATATATAAAAGATAATCAATAAAGAAGGTTTCGGTTTACGTCATTAATAATAAAAAAAAGTTTGAACAAAGTAACTACAAACAAAACATTTTTTTTACTATCTTCTGCCAGCAGCAATGATAAAAATTCATTACCTTGCCCCATCTCCAGTGAGACACGCTATAAGAGCCACTCCATTTTGCGAGGCTCTATCCCGCCAACCTTCCAAAGGAACGCCATCGGATGTCAATAACTCCAGAAGTCTCCACTGCCACAAGAGTAAAAAAAAATTCTTTCAGCAAGAGAAGAATATTTTAATTGTGTTCTAACATATTTTATAATAGTTGCCCCAAAATAAAGTGTGACGCAGATAATGGACAATACAAACAGCGTTTTTTTTTTTTTTTTAATATTTAGTTTATTTCAATGAAAGTTTATATAGATAGGAGCATTTATAAGGTAGAACAAATCACTCGATGTGTCTGCCATCGGCGGTCAACATTTTCTCCGGGCGAGACCGGAACCTGGAGCAGGACTTGGCTGACGGCGTCTCCAAGTTGGCTATAGCTTCCCTAATGGCTTGTCTTGAGAGCATCCTCAGTGTTGTAGGGCCGGCTGTTCGCCTCTGTCTCCAAGACGCCACACACAAAATAGTCGAGGATTCCAGTATGCAGATCAGGTGGGGAATAAATTGAGAAAACGACTGGTGCCTCTTGAGCCCATATGATTAAGAATTCAGTTCCTCCTTGACAATATGCACAATTGTTCCCCTATTGGGAGCCAATTTCCTTGAGGATTTTTCTCGTGCTTTTTCTCCATAACAACCTCTGTGACAAACTCGGGTGTCCTTGTTAGCTCCAGAGACTTTCCTAAGAGTCTTTAGTTGTGGTCCAAAATTGTTCTAGTCGTCTGAGGCACCATTGCAAGATCGCTGACCTTGGTTTTAGGTTATTTGAACCATTCAATGATTCCGTTGGCTTTGTGGCCGGCGCGAAGACTCTCCACAATGGCATATAAAGAAGTTGCATAAAAAAGACCTTCTTAGGCAAACGGTAGTCTTCCGCCCTGTAAAACTGATCAGCCCGCTGCAGTTCTGTTCTGATCAAGATTAGTCTTACGCCTGCAAGGTAGTGTGACACGATAACTAGGCGTATATTGAGCTTGATTTGTAAAATATGTATTTTATTTTAATAAATTAAGAATAGAAAACGGTTAAGAATAGAAAAATACTTTAAAAACATGTTTCGTTTAACAAAAGTACTAAGGGAAAAAGAAAAAGGAAAAATAAATAAATAAACGCTTTTTCTTTTATAAGTAAATTTGTGGAAGAGAAAAGGGCATCAGATTACTGTTAAATCCTACCAGTCATCCAATAAAATATTTGACTAAGTGATTAGATGTGATAAAAGATAAACGTTTAGGAAACAGATTTTAGATGACCAGGTCAAAAACTGTCTTTACTGTACCTCGACCACACATTAAGGAAATAAAGAAAAGATAACAGAATTTTCCCTTTCTCCAGGCAATAAAAAAAAAGAAAAGGGCTATAAAAACATCCGACGGCCTTCACACGAAGATTTGTTAAGATAAAAAGATAAAAAAAATCCTGGAAGATACATCGTTGGAGGCCGAGTGTAGACGGGATGTTTACACATCAAAGGAAGCAAAATTTAACTACCTTGAAATTTTGAACTTACAGTCGCCAATGCTTATCTTTTGTTTTCAGCCGGTGGTCTAGTGGACTTCCGATTATTTCAATATAAATACAAGTGATTTTTCCGAGCCGAGCAGTTCAGCCGGGCGTGTGCTTGAAGTACCTACGTGTGTCAAGCACACTGAAGAAGTGAAACTCCGTTCGTCCGAGTCGGTCGGTTCGGCATTTGATCTCCATTAGTTAGAGTTAGAGCTGAGTGTCACATCGCCTACCCCCAACGGCAAGACGAAGTCTGAACGAAATAAAGCGTTGATTAAACTCATCTAAGTTGTGGAAGTTCGTTCCTTCAAGGGTTTATCTTGGGCCCCCAGCTTGAGACTTCGACTTTTTCAACCAACCCCTGGCAACATCACAGCGTGGAGAACGCCCGCCGGAGAAATTGTACGGAGCTCACAAGGGGTGTTACAGTGGTAGACCATGGCTTTATGATATTTAAACCATTCAGTAATTTCGCTGGCTTTGTGGCCGGCGCGAAGACTCTCCATAACGGTAACTCGACGATCGTCTTCTGAAGACATATCGAGGATTAAGCATCTTGTGCGTCAATAGCCAGACAGCGACTGAGGTCGAGCACTTTCTAATGACGGTCTCCGGATTGATCTGAGCCATACTGTATATTAATCATTACTGTGACAAGAGTAAAAAAAAAATCTATCTGACTTCAGGGGTTATTGGCCCTCGTTCGATGGCGTTCCTTCGGAAGATTGGAGCGATTGCGTCTCGATTAAGGGACTAGGTAAGGAACTAGTTCGGAGGATTGGCCGGATAGCGTCTAGATTAAGGGACGAGCCTCGCGAAACGGAGTGGCTCTTGCAGCGTGTCTCACTGGCCATGGTTCAGAGGAGTGGCCGGATGGCGTCTCGGTTAAGGGACGAGCCTCGTGAAACGGAGTGGCTCTTGCAGCGTGTCTCACTGGCCATGGTTCGTCGGATTGGACGGATGGCGTCTCGATTAAGTGACGAGCCTTGTGAAACGGATTGGCTCTTGAAGCGCGTCTCACTGGCAATGGTTAGTCAGATTGGCCGGATGGCGTCTCGATTAAGGGACGAGCCTCGTGAAACTGAGTGTCTCTTGCAGCGTGTCCCACTAGCCATGGTTCGGAGGATTGGCCGGATGGCGTCTCGATTAAGGGACGAGCCTTGTAAAACGGAGTGGCTCTTGCAGCGTGTCTCATTGGCCATGATTCGGAGGATTGGGCAGATGGCGTCTCGATTAAGGGACGAGGCTCGCGAAACGGAGTGGCTCTTGCAGCGTGTCTCACTGGCCATGGTTCGGAGGATTGGCTGGATGGCGTCTCGATTAAGGGACGAGCCTCATGAAACGGAGTGGCTCTTGCAGAGTGTCTCACTGGCCATGGTTCGGAGAATTGGCGGGTTGGCGTCTCGATTAAGTGACGAGGCTCGCGAAACGGAGTGGCTCTTGCAGCGTTTCTCACTGGCCATGGTTCGTCAGATTGGCCGGATGGCGTCTCGATTAAGGGACGAGCCTCGTGAAACTGAGTGTCTCTTGCAGCGTGTCCCACTAGCCATGGTTCGGAGGATTGGCCGGATGGCGTCTCGATTAAGGGACGAGCCTTGTAAAACGGAGTGGCTCTTGCAGCGTGTCTCGTTGGCCATGGTTCGGAGGATTGGCCGGATGGCGTCTCGATTAAGGGACGAGGCTCGCGAAACGGAGTGGCTCTTGCAGCGTGTCTCACTGGCCATGGTTCGGAGGATTGGCTGGATGGCGTCTCGATTAAGGGACGAGCCTCATGAAACGGAGTGGCTCTTGCAGAGTGTCTCACTGGCCATGGTTCGGAGAATTGGCGGGTTGGCGTCTCGATTAAGTGACGAGGCTCGCGAAACGGAGTGGCTCTTGCAGCGTTTCTCACTGGCCATGGTTCGGAGGATTGGCCGGATGGCGTCTCGATTAAGGGACGAGCCTCGTGAAACGGAGTGGCTCTTGCAGCGTGTCTCACTGGCCATGGTTCGGAGGATTGGCCGGATGGCGTCTCGATTAAGGGACGAGCCTCGTGAAACGGAGTGGCTCTTGCAGCGTGTCTCATTGGCCATGGTTCGGAGGATTGGCTGGATGGTGTCTCGATTAAGGGACGGGCCTTGTGAAACTGAGTCGCTCTTGCAGCGTGTCTCACGGGCCATGGTTCGGAGGATTGGCCGGGTGGCGTCTCGATTAAGGGACGAGCCTTGGGAAACAGAGTGGCTCTTGCAGCGTGTCTCACTGGCCATGGTTCGGAGGATTGGCCGGATGGCGTCTCGATTAAGGGACGGGCCTCGCGAAACGGAGTGGCTCTTGCAGCGTGTCTCACTGGCCATGGTTCGGAGGATTGCCCGGATGGCGTCTCTATTAAGCGACGAGCCTTGTGAAACGGAGTCGCTCTTTCAGCGTGTCTCACTGGCCATGGTTCGGAGGATTGGCCGGATGGCGTCTTGATTAAGGGACGAGCCTCGCGAAACGTAGTGGCTCTTTCAGCGTGTGTCATCGGCGATGGTTCGAGGTAATGCTTTCTATATCATTGCGGTTGGCAGAGGATAAGAAAAAAAAGTTGTCTATAGTTTCTGGAATTGTCATGCGCAGATATTTCAGAGGAAGGAAAAATGCCTAAAAAGGTAATAAGTGTAATGAAATGTTAGTCTATCTATTATTAACGACGTGAAGTTTTAGAAAGAATATCATAAACGCAATGAAGATACATTATATCTGTCAAAAAAAAAAAAGGCCAGATGAGATTTTGGTCATCGGCCAATCAAAGCATCATCAGATATGGTCAACTGAACTTGCTTTGTTTCATACAAAACTAATCATTCTTAATAATTAAAGAGGTCTGATTCTTAGTGTTTTATTTATCTGATTCAGGTTTTAACTTAAAACATTTTTAGCAGTGAACTTGATCTTGAAAAAAGAGCCGTGAGTATTTTTGAATGAGTTCAAACTGAGTCCTAATGCTTCTCAAACTGCTGCCATCATTAACCGAGCAAGGATTGAACAATCTAATTGTCAACGGACAGTAATAAGCTAGTTTCTGCAGTGGAGATACGAGTCTTGAATATCAATTCAGTTGACAGTCAACATCTAAAAACACTAGTCGAACCGGCGTCCAAATGTCAAAGAAATGTCTCAGATAATGAGTTTCCGTATTTCGACAATATCGGACCATCTCAGGGGAATCGCCAAAGATAAGAAACTCCATAAATGTTCTCCACAGATGAAATTTTGGTCATCGGCTAATCAAAGCATCATCAGATATTATTCAAAACGGAATACACTCATAATCATAAACTCTAATAACTTCCGTCTGCCCTAAAAAGATCATAATAATGGCCTAGTACCACTCGTTACCGGGGATAGCCATCTGCCAGGCCGGCTAGTTAAACCCTATTACGAACGCCTGCTCTGTTATTTATACTTGCAATTATGCTGAATTGACCTTTTTCGTCTCTGGCGGCGGCATAAGCGAGTGGCCTGGAGGAGAGACATCTTGTGGGCTCTGAGAGTGTCTGACAGTGAGTCACTCCAGCGTCTTCTTATACTTCCTCTCGCTCGCCAAGGATAAGAAACTCCCTAAATGGTCTCCAGAAGAACTCAGTGAACGTCAAAGAGTTCGATGTTTTGAACCGCGTCTCAAGCTGCATCTGCGAAATTCGTAGGGTTCATTTGCTGATGGAATAGTGATTGAATGGGAAATAGTAGTCGTCACCCGCTCGCATCGGGGTCGTCATTTTCTCTCCTTATTTCCTTTTTTCCTCTCAGGTGGCGGTGGCGTAGATGGCTGTTAAGGCACAGTCTACTCCTAAAACAGCCGTGAGCAGGAGTCTCGTAGTTGGTGTTTTTTGTGCAAGATATCCAAACTCTCTCCAGGCCGGTTTGGTTTTGAAATCAGAGTTACCTTCTCCTAGACCTATAGGCTATAGAACCCAGTATGTCCTGCTATTTACTCATAGCTGGGGGAGGGGAGAGAAGAAGAGAATTAATACCTTTCCCAAGGGTATTAACAGGTTAGTGAAGGTCAAAGAGTTCGATGTTTTGAACCGCGTCTCAAGCTGCATCTGCGAAATTCGTAGGGTTCATTTCTTGATTGAATAGTGATTTGTGATGAGAAATAGTAGACGCACCTGCTCGCAACAGGATCGTCACTCTCTCTCCTTATTCCCTTTTTCCTCTCACGCGAAGATGGCGTAGATGGCTGTGAAGGCGCAGCCTACTCCTAAAACGGCCGTGAGCAGGAGTCACTGAGGAGTGTGGATGAGAAAAAGGACCCTTTATGACGATTGTAAACTGCTGCTAAAAGTAAGAGAGCAAGTATTAAAGGCTGATCTTGTATTCAGACATTACGACGCTGGTATCTGAAGTTCCGCAGTGGGGATACGAGTCTTGATTACCAATGTGGTAATGGATGCCCATCTGCAATTGAAATTTAACATTCGATTACACTAGTCGAACAAAACCCACTTCCAAATGAACAGAGAAATGTCTCAGATAATGGGTATCAGTATTCCAACAAAATCGAACTATCTCAAGGGAATCGGCAAGGTGAGGAAACTCGATAAATGGGTTCCACCGGAACTCAATGAAGGTCCATGTTTTGAACCGCGTCCGATGCTGCATCTGCGAAATTCGAAGGGTCAAATTTCTTGATTGAATAGTGACTTATGATGAGAAATGGATTATTTATGATAGTTGGCTCAACGAGTATCAATTCGAACTCGGCTCTCCCATTCCACAATCTGCATTACTCCACCGTGCTTCCTTCGTTATATCCACTTACGTGCAGATACCCTTGGGAAAGGTAGCAATCCACCTATTCGCCTCGCATCTAAGGGTTAATTAGTAAGTCTTGAATCATTAAGATCATTACTATGTCCAAAATAATTCTTACAATCTAAAACAATTTCTGGCTATATAAACGCAAAAAAAAAAAAAAAAGAAAAAAACAGGAGAAATCGCATAGAAAATTTTCATAGAGAAATACAGTGAAAGAGAACAAGAGACTGGTGAATGAGAGGGGAAAGAGTTAGTTTAGTCATTCCTTCCGCTTAGGCTGTTCGGCGTCACGGGGAGACAGTTGTCTGTCAGCGGCATAGCCGAGTGGCCTGGAGGTGAGATATCTGGTGGGCTCTGAGAGTATCTGACACTGAGTCGCTCCAGCGTCTTCTTGGTCTTCCTCTCGCTCTCCAGCCAGACTACCTGAAGGTATATGCTCGTACGGCGTGTTGGTTGATAGGCATACGAGTGAGGTGTCCGAACCACTTGATTCTCTGTCGTTCGATGTGTTGCATGATTTGTATTGCTCCTACCATATCTCTTATTGCGCCATTCCTCATCTTATCTCGCCTGGTCTTGTTCACAGCTTTCCTCAGACATTTCATCTCACAAGTGATCAGTTTCCTCTCAAAGGTTTTCGTTTTATTAAAAAAATTAAACAAAACAGCAATTTTTATTAACAAATAACTCACCTACAAAAACGCCTGATAATTATGCACCAACCCAATATCAATATCTTTCTTTCTTTCTTAATTTCTTT